TGATTTAATTGAGGGGCTTTCCTTATTCCCCTTACAGACAATATCCCCCTTCAGCGCAGGTTTTAGCATAAAATGGAATTATTTCAATATTCCGTGAATGATGTAATCTCAGCTCCAGGCAACCATCTTCATGACTGGATGTTAATTTACGTCTCTATTGATTATATTTTTATTAATTTGGAATTTGAACTTTCTTTTCATGTCATTTTCTTTTTACTAACTGGTAAATTTGGTCTATAACAATGTGTTTGTTAATCACTGGTTGATTCACTTGAGTACCAAGTTTCTAGGAATTCTCTCACTGTAATTTTGATGTTTCTCCTACTTAAAATTTCTACATTATCCCAATCAAACTGGTGTCCATAATTCTCGACATCTCTCGATACGGAAGAATGTGTATCATGTCTTTTCATTGCCAATTTATGTTCTTGGATTCAGATTTGAATGGGACGCCCACTTTGACCAATGTAATGGACGAAAAATGCCTACAAATCATCTTCAAAAAGAATGGATATCTTCACAATTTCGTCAAAATGTGTTTAAACTCTAGTCATAACACCAACAAGAAACCATCATCAAAGAGTACAAGAAAGTTCATCCTACCATATATATGAAAATAACTCTGAAATAACAGATTAAATATTTGCACCGTTTGAAATAGATATAGCATACTAACCATTTAATACAATCACTTCATTCGACATTGTGCAACAAACCCAAAGATCCAACAGGAAAAGAAGATAAAATAGATACCATGTACAAAATAAACTGCATGTGTACAAACTGTGATAAACACTAAATCGATCAAAGTGGGATTTCCCTTGGGATCAGCATTCAAGAACATTAACAGGCTATGGAAATACATGATACATATTCTTTCGAATCAATGCATGTGCATAATTATGGACACCAATTTGTTTGAGATGATGTACAAATTTTAAATAGGAGAAACATCAAAATTGTAGACAGGCAATCAAACCTGATTGCAGAAGCAGTGATGCAAAGACTCGAAAACATAATTCTACCAAAGATCAAACCCAAGATTTGGATACGCTACGTCGACGACACATTTGTAATAATCAAAAGAAACGAATTAGACAAAACTCACAACTTAATAAACAACGTCTTCAACGACATCAAATTCACAAGAGAAGAGGAATCCGAGAACAATATACCATTTTTGGACGTCTTAGTCAGGCGAACAACTACAGGAGAATTAGAAACTCAAGTTTATAGTAGACAGGCAATTTCTAGAAATTTCATACATTTATTCCCCTTAATGAATTTGAATAAAGCGAGAACTACAGTTTCTGCAGAATAAAATGGCACCATTATTGTCTGATTCATTGGCTTCTCATCAGCTGCTTACAAGCCAAAGTCTCTATTAAGTATATTAATATTAAATACTATTCCGAACAATAATGATCATACACAATGGAAACTTTTAGCATTACGTAATCAGATGAAAGAGAGATGAAAATATCCAGTTACCAGACTGGCAAAGAAAGACTGATAACTGTTGCATTCTGAACGCACAAATCAGGTTTCAGGCGCTTCATGGAGATGGCTTCAGCAAACTTGAGGAGAATTGAGCTCTTTTGCCTATTGATAATCTTGAACGATCTTGCGACGTCTACCTCATGACCTCGTGTCAAGGAGATGCCTGGCGATGGCACTGTTTAAAGCATTTGTTCCTTTTAGATGTAAGCTTTTTGGTACATGTTCAGAAAATCGTAGATATGCCCTTCTTTCTATTCTTCCAATTTAACTGCTTCCGCAGATACATGTTAATTTGTAAATATAGTTGGAGTTAACATGAGAAGGATATCTATTTATTTTTGATTGCAACCAACGGCAAGTAGTTCGACAGACGGGGATGAACTTAGCTGCAGGATAGCCTACGGTTAGTGAAGCCATCAGTATCAAGAGCCTGAAACCTGATTTGTGCGTTCAAAATGCAACAGTTAACAGTCTTTCTTTGCCAGTCTGGTAACTGGATATTTTCATCTCTATTTCATCTGATTGGGTAATGCCGAAGGTTTTAATTGTGTATTATCATTATTGATAGAAATAGTTTTGCTTGTAAGCAGCTGATGAGAAGCCAACGAAACAGACAATGATGGTGCCATTTTATTCTGCAAAAACCACCACTGTTGTTCTTGCTTTATTCAAATTCCTAGAAACCTGCTACTCACTCAAGTGAATCAGCCAGCAATTAACAAACGCATTATTTATTATAGACCAAAATTTATCAGCTAATAAAAAGTAAATCAGATGACAAGAGAGTTCAAATTCCAATTCAATAAAAAAAATGATCAATAGAGACGTAAATCAACAACCAGTCACCAAGATGGTTGCCAGGAGATAAAATGACATCATTCACAGAATATCCAAATTATTCCATTTTATGCTAAAACCTGCACTGTAGGGGGATGTGGTCTATAAGAGGGACAACGAAATCTTCGCAATTAAATCAACCAGCTCTGAGAACACAATTAATTCTATTTTGTTTAAATTAGTCCTATAGATGAGAATAAGACTGGTGACGACAGGATTAGTGTTCATTGTGTCAAAATAATACGTGAATTAAGAAATAATAATATAATTCTCAAATCCTAATAATATTTTTTCTATCTGTATATTGACTCAGTTATCTTACTATCAACGGAATCATTTTAAAAGAGGTCATTGCCTTTACTTACATAAACGTCAACACATATCAACTACAGGCACACCATGCGAATGATTTTGATGATGTCAAAACCAGAACTAGAAAGTCAAAATAGACCTTCATCAACTCTGAAACCATTTTGGAAATCTTCTCCACTCCTCTGGGGCATAAACAACAAAGTTCCGATTCTCAGAACCAATGTGAATTCAATCATTTCATCTATTATATGGTTCAGAGACTTGGCTCACAAGTTACCAAAAAGCAATTCCAACAGGCTACTGAAGACCTCTCATCAACGCCTAACTTCATATGGAAGACCAGATGGCCAGAAACAGGCGCGATCATTGAACACCTGGTCAATAATGAACCTCTTATGTTCACAGTCTCCGCCTTTAAAGTCACCTGCAAGACGAAAAGTAATTTGACCAAATCACAACATATCTGACTCATCTGCGTTGCTGAAGCTTTGACCATCGATCGAAACAGAAAAGTCATATCTCTGTGTACAGAAAAAGTGCGTTTAACTCCTCCAACTTTCATGATCTTAATCTCTATATACATGCTAAAGTATAGTAATCCTTAATCATATTTTGGCTTTACCAATTTTTACATTTTCATTATCGAATTTGTAAACTCCCATTCATTGAGTAAATTGTTACTATTACTATTCTCACTTTGAACAACTGTCCCTGGTATTGTTTCACTTGCTCCATTTGTCATTCTAAATCAATTCTGTTTTTCAACTAATCCTTAGAAACCAACTATAGAAAATTATTCTGAAGCTTACTAGTGACTTGCTACAAGACGAAGTTTCCTGTAGTTCTAGTGAGAAGTCGTGACCAATGAGGTCCATCCAGATGTAAAGTGTGAGGATAGATGCCCCACCGACGACATTGGTTGGTGGCCGCGCTAAATCATGAATTGGTAGAAGTTAGAATTCATTAGCTGGCTTTTGATTCGGATCTCAGTGGATGAATGGTATACGAGCCAGCTTGCGATGTAACCTGAAGGTCCCTGGGTGCGTACTTCCGATGATTCCCAAACTAGGCTGCTGAAACAGCTGTCTAGCAATACTCTTTGTTGGTTTTCAATGGTTCTCCGACTGATATCAATCCGTGATCAACTCGTACCACTGAAAGATGGTACTGTTGAAGCCTTTATGTTCCACACTTGAAACCCAAGAGAATAATGATAATAATAGTAATAATGAACGATAACTTATTTCTTATTTCAGTATTTTTATTTGGCACCTTAATTCAACGAACAAAACAAATGATAATAATGATAGTAAGTAAGTAAGTAATAATGAGATATAAGGAGAGAGAGAGAGAGAGAGAGGGAGAAATAACTGACCACACTACAATATGCATATATATTAGGTATGTATATATAATTACAACAGACTTATTGTTTATTCAATAACAAGAAAGACAGGGTGTAGAGCACCTCTCACTCTCTCTCTATCTCCCACCACATATGATTGCGTAATAAACTAGAGTGAAACATCACATAACCAGAAATCAACATCAAATTAAAAAATAATAATAATATTAATATTAAATAATCTGGAAATAATGAAACATCACTAACAACAATTAATCTGAAAACAGACAACAAAATAAATGGAGGGGGGTGGACAAGAAAAAGACAGGAAAATATGTTGTATATATCTGTGACCTCATAAACGAAAAAACAAATAAATAAATAAAAATGTTTGTTTGTTATTTTTATATTTAGAAGATATTAGATAGATAGTGAAAAGAAATGTTACTCTCAGTTGTATATGTTTATGTATATATATATGTGTGTGTGTGTCGGGGGAGGGGCGATGAGGTGGGGCGCAGAGCAGGGTGTATCTAGCTAGCTAACTAGCTAGTTAGGGTGGAGGCTTGAAATGAGCTGTGATATAATATATGTATATATATGGATAGAGTGTTAATGTGAATGTTTTGTCATCTATTCGCCATCGTCGGCGATATGCACATCGTCTTCAAAAGAAGCATTGAAATCAATGCATACAGAGAGAGAGAAAGAGGCGAGAAATGGCAAACGGAAGGTGACAGACAACAGATGGTACATGAAAGCACGAATACTGTTCAAAACCGCTATAAAGCAATAATAATAATAATTTATCGCATGGAAGATACACAGGAAACAACTACAACTCTTTTAACACGTCAAGTAGTATAAGATTATGAAAGATTAGAGGGTAGTGTAGTGATAATCGAGGGAAACTAACTAAAGTTTATACACAAACATACAAATATATGTATCTGTATACATAACACTCTTAAATATAAGATTACGTATCTATGTATCATCTGTGAAATTAATCAATATCCTGGGAACTCGGTGAAAAAGTTGGTGATAATGACGATGATGATGCTGATGGTGATGATGACGGTGGCGGTGATGGTGGTGGCGATGCTGATCGTGATCGTGGAGCTGATGGAGTTGGAGGTGACAATGTTTCGGGTTGATAACATTCATTCAGCAGATTACTTAATATTTGTATACAGATTTTATTAGCTTTTTGAAATTCTGGACCTAATAGACAAAAATTAAGAAATGCATGTGGTAAATCTTCTAGTACACGAACATCGATTAGGATGTCTAGTTTGGAGACACGTTTTGCCAATTCCAAAGCATCATCCAAGAAGGGATCGAATTGGGAACACTAGAAAGGGGAGACAGACAGAGAAAGAAAAACACAAGAGAAGTCACATATCATAAACATACTTAAAATGTCATTTCTAAAAAATGTTTGCTTGACGACAGTGGCTAACCGTACGGAATCCAAGAGGCACATTTTGTCCAGTTATTTTGTACTTTTCATCTGAAACTACCTTTCCCCATATATCGCCACATTAAACACTAAAGTTTTATCATCCACTAGGTGGTTGTTGGGTTATGAGGGTGATCTCTTTTGTGTGCAACGGATATCCCCGACCGAAGGTTGCTTGCTACCTTGAGATATCTCATTGAAGTAATGGTTTTGTAGGGATTTTGTTTGATAGCATGGAGGATTGCATCATGAGCTGACATCAGTTACAGAACCATTGGAAAACCTGGGAGTACTGGACAGCTGTTTCCCCCGTCCTAGTTCGGGACTCTTCGTCAGTACGCACACTACACTAGATGGAATGGATATTCCTGCAGGTACTGTTGTAACAACAGAAGACAAGGGCCTGCCAAACAGATCGTTTATTTACGAAATCAACACATATTTATAGATTTTCATGTACATTATTACAGATTATTGTTAGCAGATAAACACAGTCTTCTGATTGGTTGTTTCTCGCTGAAAGTTAATCTTTCATCTCTATGTGGCTGTTTCTTGAACGTCAGATCATTTATATGCTAACTGTATCCGCCTACGCTAAGTCTTTGTTCCTATTTTTCTCAAGACCAATATTGGGGACGTATACATTGACGTAAATTGCTGTCTACCAATTTTGGCTCTCACCACACTATCAGGCCAGAAAGGTAGTTCAGAAAATAACGGTTATATTAAAAGTAATCATCATAATAAGAAGTCATATTACTTGCAAAAATACCAAAAAGTCCTCAACAGCTGCTTGGGACTGTCTTCATTAGTGTGCACCAGAGATTCCAACAGGGGTATCGAAACCGGAACCTTCAGATCAAGAGACTACTCATTTTGCTGACGACAGAGGATAAAACAGTCCAGTGAGGTGTCCCCCTCAGATAACTAGCAAATCAGGTATGCTGTTTCTTCGTTTTGATGACGAGAGATACAAAAAGTCGACCGCCGAAATTTTACATCCCGATTTACCTTGCAGCGCAGTCTGTAACCAGTAGTAAGATGAAAAATAGAGGACACAAATCTAAAAACTAATCTTAAATAGACCATGTGTGTGTGACCGGTCTCACACAGTACTTTCTTCAGTTCTGTATTCATGGAACACTGAGAAATCAACTTCCAAGATGAGGGCATTTGGGAAGTAACAAACGCCCTTAGAGTTTCATACGCACGTAAGGCACTTCCAGCAAAAGGTATCAGATGTTATTATATTTTTGATTTCATTTGAATTCCCTGATAATTAACTTGTATTCAACTGACACGCTTGGTTTCTGTTGACATGCTGGCATTTCTATAGTGGACGCTTTGACGATTTTTGATGTAGTCATTTAGTAGATAGCAGTTAGTAGTGGAATCCAGTATTTGTCTTCCTGTTCATTATGACCTATTAAGGCGGGAAATTCACATGAACTGGTAATCAATTCCCGGAGAACCATTGGAAAACCAACTGAGAGTACTGCCAGTTAGCTTTTTCATCCTAGTTTGGGACTCTTCAGCAGTACGCATCCACCGCCAGGGTTCGAACACAGGACCTTCTGGTTACAAGCACAGCGAGCTAGCTTGTAGGCCATTGAATCATTGGGACCCGATTCAATGGTCAGTCCCTGAATTCCAACTTCGACCAATCTACAACATAGTGCGACCATTTCGCAATGTCATTGATGATTAAGTGCCCTCCCCGTTAACCTGCTGTACGCAACTGGTCACGGCTTTCTACAAGAACTCATGGTAACTACCTGAATAGGGCAAATCGTTAGTCAGATTAGATTAATGTGATAAATATACTATTGTACGTTGAGGCATGCAGTGCGATTGCTGAGTGTTTTTTTTCTAAATTACTTATCTTCGCTGGTGGGGTCAATCATTCTAACCTTAGCCAGTAAATCCTTATGTTCTCATAATCTCACTACTCCTGATCTACTAGTTTGACCTATGTGGTTGACTTCACTCACAGTCATTGTAAGGTAATTCTTAAAGTATATTATTTTGCTTAATCGGGTTAACCAGCTACTTTAGGCTACAAAATTTGTCTTACATTATAATATTATAACAAGCTATTTATTTATTTTACTATAAAAACATCTTATTTCCCATCTTGCTGACTAACAACACTCATCTTAATCTTCATCGTATTATATATTTTATTGACAACATTAATATTCGTTACGAATGTACTTTATACGTTCCTTTCTGTTCCATCCAAGACTGATATTGATTTTTATTCATACATGCCTAATCATCAATTTTTTACTCATGTATGTAAACGAAGCAAGAAAGTCATGTTAGTGAGTGTCTTGATATGATTATGAGTAGTAGTAGTAGTAGTAGTGTATAAATTGTGCTCGAAACGTTGGTCATCAGTAAATATCACACTGACACTGTATAAAAACACTGTGTGATTTTATTGAATTTGAGATTTTCCCGTCGATTGATTGGACTGAAGTGCTCGGTCTCACTCAGGTTGACATGTCGGCTTCTTGTACAGATGCTTCGACGATGTCTGGGCATTTAGTTAGTATTTAATTGGTGAATGATGACTAGCAGTGGAATCCAGGATGTGCATTTCGTCCAGACATTGTCGAAGCATCTGCACAAGAAGCCGACATGTCAACCTGAGTGAGACCAAGCACTTCGGTCCAATCAATCGACGGGAAAATCTAAAATTCGATTAAATAATTAATATGACCCGTTGCTTAAGAGGTGGTGGCTCTCGTGGCCCAAGTGGTTTAGTGGATAACACTTTGGCGTTTGAAACTATGGGCATTGGGTTCGAGCCTCGGTGGGAACATCACCACTCACTGTGGAATGCAGGTACATCCAGTTGACGAGTCCCAAATAGGATGAAATGCGCTTTATCCTGGATTCCACTGCTAGTCACCATCCACCAATTAAATACTTTGGGATTTTATCAACAACAAAAGAATTTGTTATCTATAGTGAAACAATAGTGCTTTCGCTGTCTTTGGAGCGTTTTGTAATGTTTTGTACGTGTTTCAAGGTAATTTCACATAGTGGGATACAGTAGGATGTAAAGATCAGTTCCTTGCGTCGTGGCACAGTAGTTAGGACTCTCGCCATCCATGCACATGGTCCGAGGTTCGATCCCCTACCAACGCACACCTGATATCTATGGTCGGCCTGCAAATTTGGGCTATCGATATCCATGCTGAAAATTCCATACTTGTACCAAAAATACAGTGTGAAATCAAGCTGTAATCAAAAATCAAATAAATACCACAACAACAACTCTCATCCGTTAACTGTTAAGGCAGGCTTAGTTAAGTGTCTAGCAAACCCAGCCATAGCACTAAGTAGCACAAAAAAGACCTAAATGATGAAATAAAACAGATAGAAGAGGCGTTGGTGTTGAGTAACTATCCTTTACAATTCACTAGGAAGATCGAAGAAGGCCAAAAGCAAAGTAAAAATAATCGTGAAACTAATAATGATAAAATAAATAAGAGAGAGAATAAAAGGCGTCTACTGTTATACCATATAAGGAGGGGACATCTGAGACCACCCCACGTAGGATTCTAAATAAAGCAGGAATTAGAGTGGCATTCAAACCTACAAACTGATTCAGAGTCAAGCTTCGTAGGCCAAATGACCGGTGGACCCAATTAAACAAAATTATATAATTTACAAAATAACCTGCAATGACTGTGAGCTATGTCAACTACATTGGTCAAACTAGTAGGTCGGGGGTAATCAGATTGTCGGAACATAAGAATTTAGCTGAGGTAGGAATGGTTGACCGCAACCTCGAGAAATAATTTAGGAAAAAGCTCAGCAATTACACTTCACGCATTAACACAAAACCGCACAATAGGGTGATGAGAGAGGGTTAAAATTCTAAGAAGTAATCTAGGTAGGTGGAGAGAGAGATAGATTGATTACTGAATCCTGACTGGTTCATCGAGTCTACACACAACACAACACATCCAACAGAAATGACTCAACGCAAATACCACAGATATGCATGGAAGATATTATTACCACCAGTCAGTCAGTCAAATCAGAGGAGGATAATAAATAATCTTAAAATTCTATTTCAATTCAATTCAAGTGCATCACAATATTCTAACAAGTTACTTATTTATTATGACTATAAAAACACTCGTCTTATTTCTCATTTGAGTGTACTTGATCAATAACACTCATATTATTATTTCTGAATGTACATTATCTCATAATGATTTTTATTCAGATATCTAAACATCAATTCCACACATGTATATAAATGAAGGAAAAAGTTGTGTGAGTGAGTGAGTGACTTGATATGATTGTGAGTGGCAATAGTTTTTGCTCGAAACATGGTCATCAGTTAATATTACTGTATAACAACACTATGTGATTTATCAAAATAAAATCTCATCCATAATGGAACAACAAGTCAGTTTTAATCGTTACAACATCGTCGATACACACAAAAGAAAAAAAAAAAATTTGAAGCTGTGTGCTTCACTTGAAACGTTAGGAATGAAAAAAAGAAAGAACAACTGAATATGAATTAAGTTTACACGTAAAGAATTATACGGAAATTAACAGCTGTCTTCGCTCAATACTACTCAAGATCAGATGGCTGGCCAGAAAAGATCAGTAACAGGGATCTCTGCCAATGAGCAAACCAACCCAGCAGGAACCGATTATGCAGCGAATATGCAGGAAGAAATGGAGATGGATTGGCCATACTCTAAGGAAACTATTAGGTGACATCACTAGAAAAGCCATCCCTCGAGTGGAACCCGAAAGGGAAGTGGCGAGTTGATCGTCAGAGCAAGGCTGACTTGGAGGAAGTCATGTGAAGCGGAGATGAAAGGATGTAGGCAGACTTGGAGCTAGGTAAAAACTCTAGCAGAAAACCGAAAGCAATGGAGACACGCGGCTGAAGCCCTATATTCCTCTAGGAATTAAGGGAAATAATAATAATATACACATATAATAGCCATAGGTGGTAGTTTCCGTAGCATATCATCTGACGCCAAATACGGAGACATATAGGCATCTTGAGATAGGGAGATATTTCGAACACGATTTAAATCCGTAGGCGGTCGACAGGGCAGATGATTATTGCCAGCAGAGTGTCTCTCGTCAGTAGAACAATCATTAGAAGAGTAGTGTAAACTCTCTTGAGGTAGATAATAATTTCCTGGTGCTGTACTACCACTTGATGGATTCGAATTGTAACTGTGTGATTCTATAGAGAAACAGAAAGAATAAAATAAGAATATTTTTTTTTACAAGTATGGAATTTTCAGCATGGATATCGGTAGCCCAAATTTCGCAGGCCGACCATAGATATCAGGTGTGAGTCGGCGTGGGCTCGAACCCCGGACCATGTGCATGGTTGGCGAGAGTCCTAACCACTGTGCCACCGACGCCCCCAGTTAGACAAATTAATAACTCAGTGTTATCTACACACACACACACACACCTAGTTTTGCCTAATTTAGCTTAAAACCTTAAAAATAACTATTTAAGGGGTTATCGCGCACTGGCGTGAGAGCTCTGTTTGGGTTGCTTGATTCCTATTGGCTGTTAATACTTTGAATGCATCACCAGATTACTGAATTTCAAGGTCATCCCGACTGTTTATATACAGAGTTTCTGTTCAGCATTTTGATTCTTATTTAAGACAGTAAAAGCTCTTTTATTCGACGTCCAGTCTTTTCTTTTGTCTGTGCATGCTGTTGTTGACGTCCGGTTAGGAGAGATTAGCCAATGCATTAAGTTAGTATTCGCTCATATTCCGCTAGGTCGTAGTTTGAGTCGTAACACTGAGCTAATCGGTAAGTGATCGCATCGAAAGGAAATGGAAACACCCTTTCAGAAGTCGTGGAAGTAGATTAAAGTGAAAACAGAGAACCTACGGCAAATGAGAAGTTTTAGTAGTGTGACTCCATATTCCACTCGGAAGGCAAACAATGAATGAATAATATAAAATTAATATACTTCACCATCAATTAATAATGTTCTCTGAGCTGGTTGGTTTAGTTACGGAGCTTTCGTTGTCTTTCTGGACAACATCTTCAGCGCAATATTTAGCATAAACTGAACTGATTTAAATTTTCCATGACTGATAGAATTGTGTCTCCCGGTAACCATCTTTACGTATGTAGTGATCATTTTCTACTGACTTAGATTTTAAACTTCCTGCTCACCTGATTTACTTTTTATTAGCTGGTGGTATATTTGGTCTATATTAATATGTTTGTTAATCGAATATTCGCTTGAGTACTAGGCTTCTAGGAATTCCCTGACAGCACTTTTGGTATTTCCTCTGTCTAAGATTTCAACATTATCCCACCAGCATTGTTAAGTCCCTCGAAAAGAATACAGAGGATTTTAACACATCAAAGCAAGATTCTACTCGACGCTTCATTGTTTATGTTACAGCTTCTTCATCAGAATTATTGTTACCATGAATCCCAATAAACAACCTAGTAAGGTCGAGAGTGGATACACTTTGGCCTTGTTTACAAAATGCTGTGATGTGACCACATGCTTTCAGAGCCTTGTCATCAAGGCAACAGGGATAGATACACACAGAGGAGGCGAAATCAGGTAGTTTGTCCCTATTTCTTGGATGAAAAATAGGCGTAGTAGTAGTGACGAGATAATGTATCTCTGCTGCACTGAAAGCTCTTTATTTTTACCACATCTTAAAGACAGTGAGCATAAAGGCGATATGTTAATACAGCATTTTAAGTCATCTATCGCATTCCAACAGTTGAAGTTATCGGAATCGCACTGAAGAAGTTAAGCCTGTATGTTCAGAAGACATTTGTACAGCTACTTTCTTCACCTTGGCCATGAATTACATGAATTTATAAACCTGACACTACTTCGCTCTCCTCCTAAGCCTTTTAAAAATTATAATTGTCTAAATTATTTTATTCTAAGATGAAAGAGCTGTCTGGTAGTACTCCCTGGTTTTCAATGGTTCTATAACTGATATCAATCCGTGGTCAAACTCGTATAAACAAATCTAATCCTAACAAACCAAACCCTGTGTAAACTTCCAGGCTGGGGTCCTCGGGACGGTAAAAATCTATGTTTGGAAACAATTGGTGACATGGCTCAAAATCGTTCTCAGTGGCTAGCGCAGATGCATCCACTCCCTGTGACTTATGATCTCCAATGAAACTGTTTTGTTTTTCTTTATTACTCCTTTGTCTCACACCTCTGCTCACTGTTTCTATTATGCTTTTCTTGTACTTTCTTCTCTTGCTTCGCGTGCTACACGGAGTGTGGCGACTTGAACTGGCGCACATTTGTGCAAAGTTCTATGTCGAAAACAGACAGACAGACAGACAAACCAAACCCTTGAAAATTAATCTGATGCTCACTAGTGACTTGTTACAGGATGGAAGTTTCCTGGAGTTCTAATGAGAAGTCGTGACCAGTGAGGTCCATCCATTCAAGTGTGAGGATGCATTTCCCACCGATCACATTGGTTGGTGGTCGCACTAAAGTCAAAAATTGGTAGAAGTTAGAATTCATGGGCTGGCCACTGAATCGGGTGAATGGTATACGAGCCAGCTTTTCTTGTAACCGGAAGGTCCTGGGTTCGAACTGTGGTGGTGGGTGCGTACTGCCAATGATTCCCAAACTAGGATGAAACATCTGGCTAGCAGTACTCCCTGGTTTTCAATGCTTCTCTAAATTATATCAACCCGTTGTCAAATTCGTATAAACAAATCTAATCCTTACAAACTAAACTCTTGAAATATATTTTATTTCTCTTTAATTACTCATTACGTAACCGACCCAAACACTCGCTTATATTCCTTAATTACTTTCCATTTTTCTAAAAATTATCCATTATGCAATCCACTTGTTACAACCATTTCTATCCTTTAATTGCATGTATTAATTTTCTTCGTTAATTATCACCACCATTGACATGTTGATACTGACTAATTATTGTTAACAAACACATATCAGTGCCATTTGATTGGTAAAATGTTGTGTATTGTAATAAAAATACCATAAATATTAAAGTAGAACTAGAGATGAGAATCATAACTGAAAATAACAGACGAAATAGTTAATTGCGACAGCAATCAACCAACATCGCATCCAAAAGCAGTTGCATACAAAAAGAAATCATTCAAAAGAGCCAGGACACACTTCAGCACTCTTGTCTTGACGAGAGTGGAAAAGAATTATCGCATGAATGTGTTGCCCCCAATCCCCCCCCCCCAAAATAAATGGATATACACAAAAGCTCATCAAAAAATCCCTACCATCAACTGGTCGAAGAAGCAGCCGGCGAAGACAGGACTCCAGGTGAACATACACAAGACGGAGGTTACGAAAATAACCAAAACAACAACAGCAACATCCAGCGCCAATCATCATCAAGGGGAGGGATTTGAAAGAGGTTACTTCATTCACTTCACTTATCTAGAAAGAATTGTTCCAACTACAGACAGTCGGAACGGACGAGGATGTCAAATCGAGCGAGAATCGGGAAGGCGAGAAACACATTCATCAACCTGAAACAACCAATCTGGAAATCTTCGTCACTCAGCCAGAATCAACAACAGAATTCGGTCGGATTTCCAATACAAACGTCAAGTCAGTCAGTTCTTCTATACGGATCAGAAAGTTGGCGGGCGGGTCACAAAGAATATTTCCAATAGCCTATTGCAGACCTTTATCAAGAACTAACTGTCTTCGCTCTATACTGAAGATCAGATGGTCGGGCTGGAAAGAATCACCAACAAGAAACTATGGGAACAAACAAACAAACACAACAAGAACCAATCGCCAACCAACAAATATGTAGGAGGAAGTGGAGATGGATTGGATACTTCCTGAGGAGGCCACCACTGGGTGACATCGCGCGCGCGTCAGGCCATTGCTCGAGTGGAACTAGGCCGAAAGGGAAGCACGCGGCGATTGGGACGTCAGTGTAAGGGTGACACGGAGGAGATTGTGTGAAGAGGAGTTGAAGCAGTCAGTATGGACTAACACAGATGCAGGTGGAAAACTACAGCAGAAGACAGAAGCAAGTGGAGACGTGCAGTTGAAGCCCTATGTTCCACTAGGAACCCAAGGGAACAATAACAATAATAATAACCATCAACTTGATTGATCAACTCAAAATCACTCAATTACGCATTTAGAAACACAAACTGTCTGCCAAAAACAAAATAATAACAAAAAAGAAAAAATAATAATGATATCCATTCCTTCATATCACTAACCAATCAACCATTGCTAACGGACTTTGGACACCCAATTCAATTGGGAAATTGTACAAACCTTAGTTAGATAGATAAAGGACACAGTCAAAAAATGTCTGAAAATTATTAGAAACTCAGTAGTACACAGACGCATATCTACAAAGATCACATTAAAGAATGTCACATGAATCAATAAAAGTCATAGTCCAAGTCAATAAAAACAATCAATACTAATGCAAATTAATAAACCAGTCAACAACAAGTGCGTCAATTATACAATAAAAAAAAAATGGCTGAAAAGTCAGTTATCTTTGCTGAGCTGCTTTCTGAGCATTTTTCTCCCCCTGATGATATCATTCAATAAGCATTCAAATAAAAACTCATTTCATATTGAAGTTTACGCCCTTCCGCACACCTCTTGAAATGCTCCCATATGACCGGGCGTCTTACATAGCCTCTCCTGAGGAAGTCCTACTCACTGCCTTCACGTGGCGAGGTGTTTATTTCACCGAAGTGAGGGGGCAAAAGCGGATGCCCGGCGCTCTTCACCGGGTTGACTGTCCATTGGATGACAGTCTAGGGGAGATGGCTAAACCCTGATTCCAAACCTCCAACGACTGGCGTATAAAGCTCACCGAGCTTACCGGCAAACGTATGGACAAAGGGCTTATTGGATGCCCTGGATGTCTGGCCCCATTCAAAAAGGCGTATGAACCGACTCCGGTCACCGGCTATCAATGGATAGTGGACTCCTACTCCACTCCTACTGCCTTGTAGGTCACACTTGGTTGTGTAAAGGCTAGAGCTGCACTCTCAAACAAAAGGCCGAGCGATGCTGGGGACATCACTCGTACCTAATTCCCATGAAACTTCATGAACTCATGTTCATGAAGCCGGCTCATCCTCCCGTAGGAGATAGCCGAAGTAAAGTAAAGTAAGTAAGTGCTGAAGGTCTAGAAATGATAATGATAGCTTAGCAACAGAACCATCCACGCATCCACTC